GATACCAGAAGCAAGATTAAATTGCAAAAGAACGTTCATTTTCAAACAGACAATGACGAAAGAGTAAAATAACCATTAAAAAGGAAAAGCGAAATAGTGAGCCTTTTGGCTCAAATTGGGAGCTTCAAAACTGCCAAGATTAAGATATTCGATCGGTCGTGGTTGACAAAAATTTGTTTAAAAGTTAGACCTTTAATATATCTGAAAAATGGATTTCCTTTGATTTGTTGTTAACCGCCTGCTTTTCTCCGACTTGTTGCTGCACAATTTCGTGTCTCAAAATGTTGGCACAATATAAAATTCACTTGATTGATTTAAATATGACTCAAAAATGTTTCTTCGTGTGCAAATTGAAAATTAAAAAAATATCTCTTTTCATCAGTTATCTCACGAATCTATCAATGTTTCCTCAATGAAATGAAAGAACATGTTTTATTTCTTTGTAGCTTCACTAGAGAAAACAAAATTGCCCCTTTGGAACACCAAAGATTTGTGGGATGATCGAAAAGAACTGGGCCCAAATGCAGAAAAGTATCCGCGGAAAAACGTCGATTACTTGAGATTTCAAATATGCAAAGATGTGCAGCAGTTTTCCAGTTATGTTACTTTTCTTACAACATCGATGCGAAAGAAATCCTTTCTGTACACTACAGATCAAGATTACACGCAACTACAGCCCAGGAGCCCAGGAGCTTTCAATTATTACGATTTGTGCAGATGACACAGCACTGCAACCACATGGAATGGAGAGTAAGTGGAAATTTAGTTGCAATCAAGTGTCTTACGTTTGCCAATGTCCAGCCAGCCTTACCAGGGGAGGAATCTGTTTGAGGCATGTTATTGTATCGGTAAGCGAGGTTAAGCACCTCGACGCGTGCGGAAAATCGATTCCAGCGCGAAAACAGACACCGATGGAACTGGATGGAGAAGACGACGCCCTGCCGACGACGCGCTGTCCAACTACGAAGTCAATATATCCAATTAACAACAGAAAAAACCTGTTATTTCAATAATACGCAGACCTCAGGAAACATGCTGTCGCTCTCAACATGTCTTTTTGTGTTGTTGGCGACTGGGGCCATAAATTCGGAGAACAACCCGAGTGGAAAATAACTTGTGCGGAAGAAGTCCGTAAATATAGCCGGGGCATTTTTAGCAGGAATGTGCGCCTGGACGTGGAAAAATTATAGGAAAAGTTGAGGCGGCAGATCCGCCTAACCTATCCGGAGATAAAGCTGCAAACCCTGGAAAAACGTGACCCAGTAATTGAGGCCGGTGCACCCCGTTAAGTCGCGTCTTATCTTTTAACCTTTCATTCCGGTTTATTATACGCTTGCCCTCCATCCAGGAAAAACACCGATTTGATGCACCGCTCGGCATAAAGATAAAAGAAAAGAAGTGCCCAAAACACGGAAATGGCTTAATGCACGATCTGGATCACGGCCAAATGAACCGACCAAGAGAAAATCATGTGCGTAATAAACCATCCAAACCGATCCAGTCTTAACGGGAAACATACCAAAAATGTTCTCAGAACTGTCCTAACCTTGCCTTAAAGTTCTGGTAATAAAATCACCTCATGGCCCGTTTGAGTGGCTAAAGGCCCCACTACTTATATTACATAAGACTGAAATAGTGCAACATGCGGAAGAAAATTGAATTACTTACCATATTTCCAGCATCGTACGACCTCGGGACAGTATGACTAACCTGAAACCAAATAAGAGCAACATCAGCAACAATGTTAGGCTTTGAAAAAGACGTCGAAGAATGTGGAACAGATCAAAAATAAACAGCGGATTGTTATGAAGATCTTCCTGTTTCGTTCCAGACATCCATTCTAATGCAGTTCATCATATCAAGCTTTCTTAAAAATGGTTAAAATTCTTGATTTCTGGTAGATCATGCGGTCATATTGCTGGGACAGGCGCAATTTGTCATTTAGGAACGTGGCACCGTGCCAGCAGGCAACTGCTTCCATATTCGGGACAGTTTTCCGCAGAATAAAAAAACCTGCTGGAGTGCAGCAAAACGCCCATTAATTCACGCTGAATCCATTTAGCTGAGATATAAAAAATTGGCAAAAAAGCTTGCAACTTTAAGGCTTTATCAATTTTTAAATTTCTAGTTATATGTTTGTGGGAGCCTTTTAACAAACATGTTAAATCGTTCATAATTTTCCCCCGGCCAAGACACGTAAAGAACTGGTGGATCGTCGCAGAGCAGAAAACAGGAGAGTTGGAGACAATATTGCAACACTAGTTTTTAATGGAAAGCACGTTGAAAGAGCGTTTGAGGCAAGTTTAAAGAACCACAAATAACGCAAGTCTTCATATAGCCGAAACGTCTGACCATGTTCCATCAGAGTTCTACAGTTCCAAGCTCGCCGAAGGGCGAAAAAACGCGCAATATCTAGTCAAAACTAAACTTCTGGAAAACCAACCCTTCTAGGCTACTAAAACCTTTCAAAAATCTGCAGAAACCGCGCCACTCTGATTTGATTTACTGAAGAAATTTTCGACCAGTTTGGTTCCTTTTCGGTATTCACTTCAACAGCATCCGGTGGGAAGCTTCGTCAATTTGCAAGGTGGATGGCTAGCAAAGAACAGTGCCAAAGGGAGAAGGATTGGCCAAAACAAAAACAGTGATGGTCAGGTAAGGCCTGTGAACCGGCCATCCAAAGCAGTTGACCATGAATCGGCCGCCGCTGGTTCTGCTGGTTTAGTGAACCCGGCGTCGATGGTTCGTTCAAGGTTCCCACATGACGATGACGGCGACGACCGGTGCAATTACGAACGCCCGATTTGTTGGTACCGCCGCAATCGAAAGAGAAATTCGTACATTGAAAGCATTTGTTAACTATTAAGTGTCATGACTGATCATGCAATAATGCATCTATTCCCAGGTTTATTCCATAATCGGATCGCGCCTACCCACAATTACGTCTGGATAACGCTGCGTTGGGTTAGTTAACTCAGTTAACCGATGAGTTATAACTCATTTATTAGCTTTAGGAGGCCAGAGACTGGAATTTTAACATCTAAAAAAAATGGTTTTTTTATTAACCATGGGAGTTACCCAGGCCTACGCACAATAGATGTTTAAGAACCATCAACGAACGATTGCTTGGAAATTTGCATCCTTCCTCTCGCAGGCTCGATGCATTAGGATCAGAGAACATTTTTTTTACTTTTGCTTACTGAAGGGAATTATCGAGTTTTTCCATGCAATTATGGGAAGTTCATAAACGTTTTCTTTATTTGTTTTTATTACCCGACCTGATACGTTTTGCGTACTCAATCAACAGCCCGAATACCCTTGACTCACTTAGCCAAATACGTTATTGATAACCGCTGACGATTTATTAATATTTAACTTACGGCCGTTGATAATGGTTTACCCAAAACAGCTGTCCAGAAGCGCAAAAGCTGAAAACATGTATACAAATATTGGGTTGAAAATAGGACATTCGTTGCCTTAAAAACTAGGGATCGGAATTTTTAAAAATCTGATAATCGAATATTCGTTTAGTGGTTTATACGAATAGTAAAATTGTTCGAATACTCGAATATCTAACGAATATTCGAATATTAAAGTATTCGAGTACTCCAATATTCGAGTATTCGAATATTCGAGTACTTCTATTCGTATTCGTTAGATATTCGAGTGATCGTTTTCCTTTCACCGTTTTCGAAAAAGAAAAATCGTTAACTCATATCATTTTTGGCAACTAGCCGCAACGGATAAAAAAGTGCATTTGACAATGCAATGACCAAAACACAGAGACGTAATTTTATATTCATTTGCAGGAGAGTAAATATGATTATTTTTATTTGCTTGTAAATATATGGGTATTTGCTTAAATGCTTGTAGCATACGAATAATTTATTTTATAAAAGTATACAAAGTGCTTATAAAGATCAACTCAATCAAACTCACAAGGTGCAAATCCTTGTGAGTTTGATAATGTTGGTATATTCGAGTTATGACTACACATAATTATTCGCATTTCGAATATTCGAATACTCGAATTATTCGAGTTTGATTCCGCCCTATTAAAAACCTCAAATTTTCAGTTCAAGCAGATAAACGAAAACAGCAAACAAAACGACTGTTGAACTTCATGTTAAATTCGATTATCTTTATTCAAGGCGAATGTACGTTTTCCAGTAAAAAGTAATTGCTGTTTTTCGGATACATTTATGCACATGGGGCAACAAACTAGAAATAACCCTACTACTACTGACTCTCCTACTAAACTTTTACGATCCCGATATACCCCCAAACTTGTTTACGATTTCGTCGAAACGATTTTTCTGATGCAAACGAACCAAGCGGCTTGTTGTCCCTGCTAAGAAAAATCAATAAAACCTCGTTAAGTTTTCCAATTAACAGCCGAGTGAATTTCAATTATAACCGTTGGCCGCAAAAATGAAGAAGACATTCTAGATCCGGAAAATCCTGCCGACCAGGGGGAACATTTTCCAGTGCATTTGCGAGAGGCTGGGTATTGTTTTCCCGAGCTGGAGAAAAACAAACATCCACTAAAGCTAACAAGCACCTAGATGGAAGGTTTTAAGGCTGGGAAACACGTAGAGCAATATGGGAACGCTTCCTGTTTCTCGTAGGGGATCTGCTTACCAAAAGCAGGCAATAATCGGGTTTATTCTGGAAGAGAAACGCCGCAACTGGAATGAGTTTCAAATGTGGCAAAAGAATTACGAAAGAAATTAGGCATGAACCAATTTACTAGGACGCAATGTTGCACAAGCGATCATTCCCAACGTATTTATGTATTGAGGTAATAAAGTGCCTTGAACTGTCCAGAATTTAAATTAATATTATGAAATTTTTGAAGGACAAGTTATTCAAACCGCACTTATGCGAGCCAAGAAACTAAATGATAGACTATTATTAAGATGTAATTTTGGGAACACTGAAACGTACTACACTAGACGCAACTGTGCAAGTTATAATTTGGGTAAACCGATTTAAGTCGACTATTACTGCGTATAAATAACACCTTAATTTCATCAAGAATAGATAGAAACACAAATATAAACACTTTTAAAGCAGATGTGGATAAATTTGCTCGATTCACGATCAGCGTTTACTATGGCCAGTGCGTGGTGCTGACCTGAACCTGATTGAGCATGTTTCGGATCAGCTGAAACAAGCTACTCCTTGCTCGAAGCTGGAAAATGCGGAATTTCCTCAAGACGTTTGGAAGGGAGTTAATTTGAAACAATATTGAGTCCATTGGTGCAGCAAGACAAAAAAACTGATAAATATACGATCAAAGGTCGTTACATTCAGGCTGGCGGTTTTATGTTGTCTGGATAATAACACATTTTAAATGTGTTATTATGGTGTTTAGGTGTGTTATTAAACATGATAAAAAAAAATTAAATTCAAAAACCACCGATTTTGTGCCTGGCATTTAAAAATTGGGAACAATAGGATTTGGGCGCATTTTTTAAATATTTGCTTCATTATTCTATTAAATGCCAATTCCCAGTTTAAAACATTAGCACAGTTGCATGAATGACCCTTAATACAGCAGATAATTGGAATAAATCACAGACAGAACCTTTCCGAAATTTCAAACTACGCAAGACTTACTAAAGCTCTTCAAACCCTGGTCATACAGTTACCCTTATTAAGGGTGCAATTTTTCTGTCAATCAACTCAAACAGGTTTTTTCCGCGTTTTGTCCTCGGTGGCAACCCCAAAATTCCCCACCTTTAAAACTAATTAATTACTATATGATAATGCGTTTAATATCCCATTCATGGCGACATGATAATCCTGCTTTTTGTCCATTCCGAGCTGCTGGCTTGCGCCCGACATTGACAAACGATCTTCACAGTTTCGGAAAATGATGGCGAAAGATTAACTCTGCGGAAATTGCGCCAGAATCGTATTTTGTTGCGTAGCTTTTGATTCATGTAAATTTGGGACCCGTTAACGAGGGTTTTGCTAATGAACGTCAAAATTCCACCCTCACCARCTCGAAAATTGCCACGTGTTCGGCCAATATTAGAAGYCGTCAAACTAAGGGTGGTTTTTAGTATTCGAGTTGAACTTATTCTTGTCARAGCCAGTTAGAAATTGTGCTTTTGGCAAATTTCAATTGTTTTCTTGAAGAATTCTTTATAACTTGGCATGTCACTGGCAGTGAGTGGGTTTAAGTGTCCATAGTCAAGGATTTAATAACGCGTGTGACTGATGCCGCTTTTAATAAGTTTTCGCTTTTTATTCAATTCATGAAATTATCGACCAAACGCCCACAAACTACTAGAAATTTCAATCAATCTTCTGAACTGAAACGTCCAAGCAACGAAAACCGACAGCCTCCAAAACAATAACTTTCCTCTAAATCCGTACGAATATCATAAACATTTTGTGCAGCGCACAATGCATCACTGTTAGATGTTATTTTTGGTCAACAACCCCAAGATATGCTCCCATTATAGGATCCAGATGTTCCTACTCTCCGACAATACGGAACGCAGTATAGCCGATGGCGTGTGGCACCACATCCACTATTTATAGAAACAAACCGTGAACATTCGGTCTGGTATAATTAAACCGAATTAAACCCTGAAAGTGCAGCAGAAAGCAAAAAAGCCTCCAACACCGAGAGATTGGTTGAGAGGAGCGACCCCCATACTGGATGGCGTGGAGACATTTTTTCCTTCAGCAAATGA